TATAACAAGAAATGAAAACTAGAGGCTAATAATCTTCATGAACACAGATGCAAAAGTCTTTAACACAATTTTAAGTGATTGAGTACAGCAATACATATAAAATAAGGATTATACATCATGACCATATGGTTTTTCTCCCAGAAATGCAAGATTCATTCAACCTTCAAAAATAAATGAATATAATTCACACTTTATTAACACACCAAAAATGAAAAATGATATGATTCTACAATAGATGCAGAAGTAACATTGAGAAAATTTTCAACTGTCATAAATGGTAAAAATTTGGTTATAGATTAATTTGCACATAGAACTTTATATGAATTGAATCATGTAATATGTACCCTTTATTGTCTGGCTTCTTTCATCTTGCATGATTATTTTGATTAAGGCAACAGTTTCATGGGTATATCCCTATATCAAAACTAATCAAATTATAAAGTTTATAATGTCAATCAAATATGAAGCTTATTTTATGTCAATTACTACTTGATAAAACTAAAAAAAGATCATCATAACTATAATAATAAATCAAAATTGAAAACTAAAAAAATCTTTAAAAATGGTAAAAATTCTCAAAAAACTCATAACAGAATAACTGAAAATTATAAAGGGCAAATACATAAAACCTACACCTAACATCATAACTAAAGACTAAAGTCTTGCCTCTTAAGACCAGGAGCAAAGTAACCATTCAAGTTTACCCTGCAATTTAAATATCCTTTGTCCTTGTTCTACTTGTGCTAGAGTCTTAATGGATTTAGTTTAGCAAAAGAATGAAATTACTTTTTCTAATGCTTTATTTACTTGATTGAATTGGACATTTTATCAAATAGTAAAAATAATGATAAATAGACATTTGGTTCTTCCTCAACAGATTGTATTACACTTAGAAATGATTTCCCAGAATATATCTCAGGAACTGTCACACTTTGAACCCTATATAGCTTTAGTTACAAATGCACAAACTATTAATGCCTTTTAGTTTCTACCAGCTTGCAGAAATCTTGACATGTAGAGGTAGAAAAAAATGTAATTTTTCTCATTCCTACTTGAGAAAGTATCGTATCCTTACACGTTTTATCAAAAGCTAATTAAAATTCCATGCCACTGGTAAAAAGAACATGAACACCAAATTTGGCAAAGGTAGATAAATCACTGGGACACTGGAAATTGACTGAAGGGGAAAAAACTTGAATATTGCTGCAAAACTAGGCCATCTATTCACTTCAACAGGAATCGATCTGTTACAATTTATCTGCAGGCTGCCTGAGAAGAGAAGGAAAGCCGTAGTATCATTTTCATTCTCATACAATTACTTACATGCTAATTGGTAATAAAGTTCAAAGATATGAGTAGCTCTGAAAAGTACAGAGAGAAGATTCAGAATAGGATATAGAAAAAGGGAAACTTTAGTTGCATGGAAGACACAAATAAATAACTTTCTCTGTACAATTTCCCTCTCTCTAATTTCTGGACTGAAAAAAAAAAGTAATTGGATGTTACTGAGTTACCATTGCTCTTCTCTAGTAATTACAGTGAAATTTAAAGTTTTGAATCTTATATACACTCTGAATTATTTTCCTCTGCAATTTCCAAAATGTTATGTTATTACATAGCTATTTCAAAATCAAAAGAATGTTTAAAAATTGTTGGCAGGCAAGATGGCTCAGGAGATTTGTAATAGGTTACACACTGCCTTTGATTTCTAGGTCACTGCTTAAAATCCATTCTGCTTAATGACTACTGGCCGTCAAAGTGAAATGAACTGGTGAGTTTAGCAGAGTTCCACAGTCATTTGTATTATCTACTACCTTTTCCAGTTTGTGTGTAAATGTAATCTATAGTCACCTCTATGCCTCAACAAGCAAGTTAAAGAGATTCAAGTGCATAGGTTTAAAATTGAGATGCAGTCTCTTTTGACTATATGATTATCAACAACTTGCCTTCTTTAGCCTTAATTTCTCCACTTAAGAATGTGTATAAATATGCGCCTGTGTGTTTAATAAAATAATATTGTCTACCTCACCAAACTGTATTATTAAATAGTTTATGTGACCACAGCAACAAATATTTACTGAGGACCTACTACAGGACAGATAACTATAGTTCATATTACTTCATTTAATTTCATGTAAGGCTTATAATTCACTTGTGAGGTAGTTGTTATTGCTGTTTAATTTTTTATTTTTATTTTAGTGTATCATGGGGGTACAAGTGTTAAGGTTACATATATTGCCCATGCCCCCTCCCGTTGAGACAGAGCCTCAAGCGTGACCATCCCCAAACGTTGCAATCTACTCATTGTGTTTGTATATACGCATCCCCTTCTCCCATTCCCACCAACCAACATCCAAAAATGTTTTCTATATGTCCACTGAGGTGTTGATCTGTTAATACCAATTTGCTGGTGAGTACATGTGGTGCTTGTTTTTCCATTCTTAAGATACTTCACTTAGTGGAATGGGTTCCATCTCTATCCAGGAATATACAAGAGGTGCTATATCACCATTGTTTCTTAAAGCTGAATAGTACTCCATGGTATACATATACCACATTTTATTAATCCACTCATGAATTGATGGGCACTTAGGTTGTTTCTACAACTTTGCAATTGTGAATTGTGCTGCTATAAACATTCGAGTGCAGGTGTCTTTTTCATAAAGTGACTTTTGATCTTTTGGGTAGATGACCAGTAGTGGAATTGCTGGATCAAATGGTAGATCTACTTGTATCACTTTGAGATATCTCCATATTGCTTTCCACAGAGGTTAAACTAGTCTGTAGTCCCACCAGCAGTGTAGGAGTGTTCCTCTCTCTCCACACCCATGCCAACATTTATTGTTTTGGGACTTTGTGATAAAGGCCATTTTCACTGGAGATAAGTGATATCTCATTGTGGTTTTGATTTGCATTTCCCTGATGATTAGAGATGTTGAGCTTTTTTTCATATGTTTATTGGCCATTATTCTGTCTTCTTTTGAGAAGTTTCTGTTCATGTCCTTTGCCCAGTTTTTGATAGTGTTGTTTGATTTTTTTCTTACTGATTTATCTGAGTTCTAAATTAGATTCTAGTTATCAGCCCTTTATCTGATGTGTAGCTTGCAAAAATTTTCTCCCATTCTGTAGGCTGTCTGTTTGCTCTTAAGACACATAGTTTTGAAAGTAATTCTTAAAACTGAAAAATTATTTATTTAATCATAAGTCAGCATATATGACTAAATCATCTTGCTTTTTTCAAATACTATCTAATACACTGAAGACACAGAGAGGGACAAAAAAAAAAAAAAAAAAGACAAGGGCCAAGACCTTGGGAACTAATTTTTAGAGGACAAAACAGATAATAAACAAACATTATTGGTGATAACATATTAATGATAACATTTCAGATACTAATAACATGATAAAAAATAAAAATTAGTGAAAGGAGAGTCAGGGGGTATGTTTTACATTGAATGATCCAGAAAAAAATCTCTAGAGAAGATGAGATTTAACCAGAGACCTACATAATGAGAAAGAACCAGAAGGCACAAGTCTTAGTTGAGAGCATAAGAGCTTTCCAATCAGAAGGAAGTACAAAGTCCGGTAGCAAGAATGACCTTCCATCTTGAAATGCAGAGTTCTAGATATATTTTATATTTATATATGGTAAATCTTCCTGATTTTTGGACTTTTGGAACCATTTTACTAAATGTTTGATAAATATACTGTTTTCCTCTCATAATTTAATTATCACATATTGCCACATGAAGTATAAGGTAAGTATTTTGAATGTAATCAATAGTAAACTATTAATTTGAGGGCACAAAAGAGTTAAACATAAAAGAACTGGTAGATACTGAAACATTATTTACTCTGACACTGTGAATATGTCAGAGGTAATTAATATCATTATTATGATTATTACATTTCACCTTGCACTATGCTAAGACTTGCAGATAGGCCAGATGCGGTGGCTCATGCCTGTAATCCTAGCAATCTGGGAGGCTGAGGCGGTGGATGCTCAAGGTCAGGAGTTCGAGACCAGCCTGAGCGAGACTCTGCTCTACTAAAAGTAGAAAGAAACTAATTGACCAACTAAAATATATATCAAAAAATTAGCTGGGCATGGTGGCACATGCCTGTAGTCCCAGCTACATGGGAGGCTGAGGCAGTGGGATCGCTTGAGCCCAGGAGATTGAGGTTGCTGTGAGCTAGGCTGACGCCACAGCACTCACTCTACCCTAAGCAACAAAGTGAGACTCTGTCTCAAAAAAAAAAAAGACTTACAGATAGTACTTCCTTTAATCCCCAAACACTATAATGTGTATCATAATAGTAACAATATGATGATGATTAAAATAGTAATATTAAAATTATTCATATAAATTATTCATTATAATCTAATTTAATGCCCTTAACATCTCTCTTATAAATATTATTATTGTTGGAAGCCAAGAAGGAGGAAGGTGTTCTCTTATCTGCTGTGCTGCTATGTCTGTTACAGCAAAAATGAGTTCATAAACCCTTTTTGGTCTATGTTAGTCAAATATTGTTATTCCTGCTGGCTCATTCCTTATACATTCTCTTGGACTATATTTGTGACTTAATTTTGCCTTGCAATAAGAACTCAGGAACATTAAGACAGAGAAAAAAACTACATTAATGGAGCACATATAACTTTAAAGGTAGTTATTATTATTATCCTTATTTACCAATGAAGATATTGAGACACAGTGGGATTCAGCTGATGTCCTAGTAGCTGACAGTGTGTCTGCCAAAACAATGCCTGTTACTAATATGCTACATCTCACTCCCCACACATACACATAAGTTTTCTCTTAGAGTTTATTATTAATATAATCTTATTTGTATAGGAGCTGATGGGGGGCTTACTGTGCGATCTGCCCTGATCTCTCAATTCAGGAGACACTGTTCACTTTTCACTATCATTTAGCTGGATCCATATGGGCAGTCATTAAAGAGCAAAGCCTCTGGATTACTAAACCCCTAGCACATACCGGTCAGGCTTCCAGTTGAGCTCTCAGATCATCTATCAGAGTGGTAAGGTTGAATTCCAAACTTATTATAGTCCGTTTTAGCTGTATCCATACCTCTTCACAGAGAGTCTCCTAATGTTGTTCTTGTCTTGCCCCTGATTTTAAAAGACAAATGAGTTAGCAAACTTGCAGAAATCGCTGGTGTGGATTATGTCACAATCCTTAAAGAAGAGGGAAGAAAGAGCAAGACAGTAAAAGAAAATAAAAACAGCTAGCATTACCACTGAGGTATTTGATAAAAAGAGTTCGAAATATATGAATTATTTCTGCTAACACTTAACTAAAAGCTACTACATAGCAAAGCAGTATTCTACATTCTAGTTAGGATAAATTGTTAAATCCTCACTGAATCTCTATCTGTGATTACTGCTGTATCTATTTTTATTGTCACTGCATTGTATAGACGCAGCGGCTGAGGCCCAGAGAAGTTAACTTGCTCTCAGTCACACAGTTAGAATTTATGCAATCACTGTTAATTATTTGCTTATATTTTATTCTATAACTTCCATTGTTAAAAAATATATTGCATAGGTAAGAAAAAAAATAGCCAGGAGTTTGTAGTAAAATAGCCCTTGAGTTTAAATTGGTCTATGGCACTTTTGTGCCATTAATTGAGCCAAATTTTCTCTTTGTTCTCCTAAAAAAAAAGTGGCTTTTTGTACAATATACCTGGTTGCTATGAGGATTAAATGAAATAATGTCTACAAAATATCTGGGATATAGTAGGTACTTATGAGTCTAACCATTCAGAACTTAAGGGGATGAACATTGATAATTCTCTTGTGGATATCTTTAAATTTTATATGACTTATCTTTCTCTTAGTTTAATATAATATGCTAATTGGCAGCCATCCTAAAAGTTTTTAAATATGACAATATGAAGTAAATTGTGAAGAAACAAATTTGGTTCTTTGTAACTCTAGAACATGCTAGTTGTGAGCAAACTTGTAAATAAATCTTTCTATTCATTTTGCACTCAAACAGTTATTAATAGTTATCTATTCTCATTTAATGTGTTACACCTTGGGGAAATAAAGATTTGTAATACAAAAAAACAGTTTAAATAAATGTAATTAAATACCTCTAATGATTTACAGAAATGAAGAATAGATCTACTCTCTAGTATGTTCACATTCTGAAATTAGAATTTTAAAGTAACCAGTTTTTCCACCTAGAACAAGCTGGATAATTTATATATAAATATTCTGGAATCCTGAGACATATGCATTGTTAGTCTGCTTATGTTTCAAACAAATTTAAGACATATGATAATATTAGAGCTAACTCTGTAACCAACCATCAAGTTTCAGGGTTGAAATCTTTTAGTCCCATTCTTTCTGCTGCAAGACATGTATCTTTCAAAATGTTTAATGTTAATGATATCTAGAACTGATACTATAATATTAACTAGACAATGCTTTATTCCCTTGTAAAGGAAAATAATATTACATATGATACCTTATGAAAAGCTCTCCAAGTAATTAAGTGGTCCAATCACCCCTGTTATTCATTTCTTAGGAGGAAACATAATTTCAGATCTATAGATTTTTTTAAACCAACAATATTTAATCTATTGGAAGGAAACCTAATGCTTGCAACAGATCAACAGCCAGATTATCCATGGACAAGTTAATTGCTCAGTTGATGACAGGATTGATTAGGCAGAAAAGCAATTTCTATGAAGCATAAAATTTGGGAAATGAACTGTTTAATTTAATGAGCAAAATTGCCATATAGAACATTCATGACTTATCCTATTATTAGTTATACAAGCACTAAAGTGAACATCAACTTTTATCATTTTTGATAACCACAGAATATCAGTGCATAACTTTCTTTGAAAGTGTTGTTGAAGTATTTTCATAGTGTTCCAGGAAGAATACATGAAATATTAAAAATAACACTAATGATATTAATATACCATCATTCTTCTGAAAGTGCATTGCAATCAATCTTTGAAATTGAGGACAAGTAACACTAAAGTCATTATACTTATGGAAAATTATGAGACAGTGAACTTAAGCAGCTGCAAGGTCACAAAATAAAATAATTTCTGACATACAAATAGAATCTAATCATCAAAGCCCAGCCCAGACATTTGTCTACTAATCTCTACCCCTTATAATATATAACTATAACCCTTAAGAATTTTCAATATTTATAACTGCTCTTCTCTTTATGCTATTATGTTTCAGTAGTATCCTTAAGTAGAATATAAATGTATTCTGTTTAAATTGGAAGTTATTTTCCTTTTTCCCAATGTGATCAGTCTGATGTCAAATAAATGAACTAAAATATAACTTGTTTATAGAAATATATATATTTGTATATAGAAAAAGAAATAGTGCTGCTTTGTTATACCTAGAGTTGGTTTATTTTGTAAATAAATATTTTTGTAAATTCCTACTTATATATTATCTAAGTTTAATGCTATATTAAATTGTAGTAGTTCTTAATATAAGAGTTTTTTTTTTTTACTATTGTGTTTTTTCCAAGGTCTCCTTATTCCATGTTAATTTGAGTTAACTAAAATTTCTCCCTTTGTCAAATTTTCTAATTTTTGGACTTTAGAAAAGCTCAGAATGTTCATTGTTAAAATATAATAGGCTTTATTCCTTATCTTAGAAGGACAATAGTTAGTCTCCATGAGAAAATGTAATAAGAGACTACATTTTATATCTAAGCCATAGAATTAGATATAAAATTATAGATAATACTTTTGTCCATCACATTATATTCCAAATAGCAATAAAGGGCATAACTACTGTCTTTATCTTATAACAAGAAATGTTAAACTCTTCACTGGCTCTTGTTTTCTACAAGTCAAGACAGAATACACTGTGACTTATCTTGAGGCAGTCCTGTATTCTCTGTTTTTTTCACTACTCTTTAACTAGGCATATTTCTGGTCAGAAAGTTCATCAAAAAACAGGTAGCACTTGTTTACTAGTCAATCCCTAATGTATTTGTGTTCAGTGGTAGTTAAGAGCCATTCCCTTTAGTAACTTACTAATGCACACTCAAAAAATATTGTTTAGAAATATTATTTTTTTAATTTCTGCATATTTTGGGGGTACAAATGTTTAGGTTACGTATGTTGCCCTTGCCCCCCTCCTCCCCACCCTGAGTCAGAGCTTGAAGTGTGTCCATCCCCTAGATGGTGCACATGACACTCATTATATATGTATATACCCATCCCTTCCTCCTCACTACCACCTGCCCGACACCCAATAAATGTTATTCCTATATATGCACTTAGGTGTTGATCAGTGAAATCAATTTAATGATGAGTACATGTGGTGCTTATTTTTCCATTCTTGGGATACTTCACTTAGTAGAATGCGTTCCAGCTCTATCCATGAAAATACAAGAAATGCTAGATCACCATTGTTTCTTAAAGCTTAATAGTATTCCATGGTATTCATATACCACATTTTATTAATCCACTCATGTATTGATGGGCACTTGGGTTGTTTCCACAACTTTGCAATTGTGAATTGTGCTGCTATAAACATTCAAGTGCAGGTGTCTTTTTTGTACAGTGTCACTTGATCTTTTGGGTAGAAGGGCAATATACGTAACATTAAGATTTGTACCCCCATAATATGCTGAAATAAAATAAATAAATAGAAGGAAGAAATTTCTGTAATAATTTCAAATTATAAACAACCAAAATGTCCTTCATTGGTAAAATGAATAAAGTGTGGTATATCCACATATTCATATATCAGAATACTCTACAGCAATGACATAAACAAGTTATTGCAACAAAATTGATAGGGATCTCGCAGACATAAATTCAAGTGAAATAAGCCGGACATCAAAGTAAATATTTGGTATCATTCTACTCAAATTAAGCTGAAGATCACTCAAGACTAATCTACGATGATAGAAATTAAGAGAGTAGTTGGTACTGGAGGATCCATGAGTAATATTAATACTTCTTGGAAGCTTGCTATGTTCTGTATCCTGACCAGAGTGGTGATTACATAGCTGTGTTCATTTTGGAAAACATTATTTGTTTTAACTTTATGTATGTAATATTCAGTAAAGATTGCCCTCCTTGTAGTGTAAAAATTCAACATGGCTCTTAATTTTGGTTGGGTTTTTGTTGTTACTTCTATTGTTTCTCAGCATATATGAAATAAGGCATGGATGCAGAGAGACAGAAATGCTCATATACTATTGGTGAAATGGCAAATTTGTACATCTATGGAAAACAATATGGAGATTCCTCAAAGAACAAACAGTAGACCTACCATTCTATCCAGCAATCCCACTATTGGGGATTTAATTTATCCAAAGGAAAAAAAAAAGACTTTTCATCAAAAAGATACCTACACTTGAATGTTTATTGCAGCACAGTTCACAATAACAAAGATGTGGAATTGACTCATGTGCCCATCAATTCATGAATGGATTAATAAAATGTGATACATGCATACCATGGAGTACTACTCAGCCATATAAAAAGATGAATTAATACCTTTTACAATAATCTAGTTGGAACTGAAGACCATTCTCCTAAACAAAGGGTCTCAATAATGAAAAAACAAATACCACATGTACTCAATATTAAATTGGAACAGATGACCACACAAGTGCTCAAAGGGAAGTAAAACTCAGTGGAAATCAAGCAGGGGGTAGAGGGAAAAGGGGAGGAGCAAAAATCTACCTAACGGATACTATGAACACTATTTGGGTGACGGGCACACCTTTAGCCAGGACTCAAACATTGCAAAAAGTAATCCATGTAACCTAAAACATTTGTACCCCCTTAATATTTTTAAATAAAAAAAGAAATAAGACATAATAATTTTACATAAAATGAAATACTCTGGTTTGTTAATTGGTGAAAGAAGATTTAGAATATAGTCTAGATGACTTCCACTGCTGAATATGAATGCCACTTAACTCCCTAGTCAAGGGTATAACCTGTTCACAGCAACATTCTTCGATGGGACAATAAAAAGACACTGGTGGTGAGAATTTGAGGTAATCAGATCTGAGTAGTTTTACATTCCCTAGTCAAATGATAGCGGGGTGAAGTCTAACAAAGATACTAATGGAAAAGAAATATCTTTTACCTGACCTGGTTGTCACTGAGAGCTTCCTGAATTCATAAACTTTGTTCTTACCCATTGGTAATCACAGGTTGAGTACCAATAATAATGGCCACCTAAGAATACCAGGAAAATAAAAATATCTGTTCAGTGAGTAACACAAGAAAATATACCTTTGCAGGCTAGGGCATATCAGTTGTGTTAATAAGGCCTAATCCTGATTCCAGTGGTTCATCTGTTCCTGTATTCTCATTATACAACTTTTACAACTTGGAAGGCTCTGCTCTTTGATAACACATGTCATATATTATTGCCTTTCATTCACTATTCTTGTAGTGTGAAACATTTCTGATTTTCGTTTGAAATCTCCTCTTAACCCCTAAAAGCATTAATGTAAATGTTATAGTACCATACTTACAAATTCTGATAAACACTCTAATAAATTAATTTTGTAAAATTCTCATTGCCTTCAGTCTCTCACATTTCCTTTTTCTCAGACTTTCTGGGAAGAGGTGAAAATCGAATGAGCTCTTCATTGTGAAAGTATATTATAAACTAGAAATAACAGAAAATTCTCTATAATAAATAAGCATAAAGCCAACTCCATATCATGATACTTAAAAATTCTGAGTGACTTTGGCCTGTAAAATCAATTTACTTGATCCTTTGGTACTTTATTTCCGTGGTGGGACAGAAGCAATCTTAAAAGTCAAATGGTCAGTACTTCTCTTTCTTCTTCTCATATCTGGAAAATCATTATCTTCTGCCCCCTCCCCCCACCACCACTAGCAATGGTCCTCTGTCTTTCTCTGGTTCTCTTTACTTACATATATCTAAGAAAATACAGGTTATATGGTATAAATTACTCATCTAGCCTATTTCTGACAACAACACTATTTTATTCACACTGTTGTTCACAAGGTAGTAGCAGAGGAATTCAATTTCTTTGTTTAGAATTCCTTCCTTTATCTCTTCTTTCATTTTTCATGGACATAAGAAGACAGATGTCCTTTTTCATTTCTGTTTAATCTTCCAAAGTTCTTTCTGTTCCATCAGCTCTCAACTCCTTTCCCTCATACTTTCCTGTAGAAAAGATGCCATATTATTTATTAGAGAAAAATCATTAATAGTTATCTCATACCTTAATTTTTACTAATGTATATATTATGATCCAAAGGAACAATAATGATCTGATGATTAAAAGCAACCAATGGCAAATAAATTTTCCCTAAAAGTTAGACATTTTGCTGTTTAAGTAAATAGGATAGAATTGGAATCAGAATGCAAGGAGTATTACACCTATTTTTATATTTGATCCTAGTATCAATTCAAAAGACTTAAATTATTAGGACAAAAATGAATGAAGGAAAAAGACAGAGTAACATTCTTATCTATTCAACATGAAAAATATATAAACAGCATTTTATCTTTTAAGCATATTATTGCTCATGGAATTATTACATTTATTGAACCAAAATTGTATCATTCTGTATCATGTTCATGGTTGAAAAAATTAGCGTTGTTAAAATGTCTACATTACTCAAAGCAATCTATAGATTCAATAAAATCCTTATGAAAATTTCAATGTCATTTTTAACAGACATAGTAAAAAAAATCCTAAAATTTGTATGGAACCACATAAGACTCTGGATATCAAAGCAATCTTGACCAAAAAGAGCAAAGCTAGAGACATCACTGTACTGGATTTCAAAATGTATTACAAGGTACTGGCATGGTGCCAGCATAAAAACAGACATATCAACCAATAGAATAGGATAAAGAACACAGAAATAAATCCACACACTACAATCAATTGATTTTTGGCAAAGGTGCCAAGAACACACAATGGGGAAAGGGCAGTCTTCTCAATAAATTATGTTGAAAAACTGAATATCAACATAGATAAGATGAAAATGGGCCCTTATCACTCCTTTTATACAAGAATCAACTCAAATGCATACAGATTTAAATTTAAGATCTGAAATGATAAAACTACTAGAAGAAAGCATAGGTGAAAAGCTTCTTAACATTGGTTTGCGCAGTGATTTCTTGTATACAACCCCAAAACACAGACAACAAAAAACGAAAATAGACAAATGTGATTGCATAAAACTAAAAAATCTACAGCAAAGGAAATAATAGAGTGAAGAGAAAACAGAAAGTTTGTGAGAAAATATTTGCCAATCATTCATCAGATAAGAGGATAATATTCAAAATATCTAAGGAACTCAAACTACTCAATAACAAGAAAAAATATTCTATTAAGAAATAGGTAAAGGACTTAAATATATGTTTCTCAAAAGAAGACACACAAATGGTCAACACATATATAAAAAGAAATGCTCACGTCTCTAATCATAAGAAAAATGCAAATTAAAACCACAGTGAGATCACACCTGTTAGATTGGCTATTATAAAAAAGATAAAAGATAACAAGTGTTGATGAGAATGTGATGAAGAGGGAACCCTTATACACTGTTGGGTACTATAAATTAGTACAGCCATTCTAGAAAACATCATGAAAGTTACTCAAAAAACTGAAAACAGCATTACAATATGATCTAGCAATCCCTCTACTGGCTATATATCCAAAGGATTTAAAATCGGTATGTCTAAGAGATGTCTGCTCTCCCGTGTTCATTGATGTTATTCACAACAGTGAAGATGTGAAAATAACCTTAGTGTCCAACAAGTATATGGATTAAAAATGTGGAATATATACAATGTATTACAATGTAATACTATTCAGCCTTCAAAAAAGAAATTTTGTCCTTTTTGCAACATAGATAAACTTAGAGAACATATTTTAAATGAAATAAGCCAGGCAGAGAAAGACGAACACTGTGTGGTCTCAATTATATGTGGAATCTAAGAAAGTAGAACTCATAAAAGTAGAGCAGAGAATGGTGCTTACTAGAGGTGGGGATGGGGGTTAAATAAAGAAAGGGGATAGGTTGGTCAATAGGTACAAAGTTTCAGTTAGGAAGAATAAGTGGTGGTGTTCTATTACACAGTAAATTTCAAAATAACTAAAAGAGGATTTTAAATGTCCCCACCACAAAGAAATGATAATTATTTGAGGTGATAGATATGCTAATTAGTCTGTTTCAATTATTCCACACCAGGGGTCCTCAAACTTTTTAAACAGGGGGCCAGTTCACTGTCACTCAGACCCTTGGAGGGCCGTTGGAGAGTGTGGTGCACATTCCACACCTGCGCACTGTTGGCCCAGGATGACCTGGTTGCTAAGTAGGACAGTCAGCAGCGGCAAAAACACCCAGGCGGGCCGGATAAATGTCCTCGGCAGGGGCCACATGTGGCCCACAGGGTCCTAGTTCGAGGACCCCTGTTACATGAATGGAAACATCACATTGTACCCCATAAATATATACAATTATTACTCATCAATTAAAAATAAAACTAAAAATGTATCATTCCTATTATACATCCTATAACACACTGCTTTACAGAATTTACATATTTTCTTGATATTAATTATACCAATTATAAGCCCAACTATATTGTAAATTCCCTTCAGTGACATGCAAACTATGGTCATTTCAATATCTCTGTATTTTGGACACTCATGTGTCACTAGCACTCCAAAACTGAAGACAAAATGTATTTTCAGATGGTATCACGCAACAGGTCTGCTGCTTTTTTGAGAAAAAAAATGACAGTTTCATAGTTTTCAGGCATGATAATTTCAGCAGGAGGCCTTCAAGTACCCACAGACATAGATACCTGTCTGCATCTGTCCAGGACTCCGTATTAGAAGCCAGTGATGAAAGAAGTATAGAGAACAGATTTAGGAAGAAGTAGAAATGGTGGCTACCAAATCTAGTCTCCAGGAAAAGCACTGACACTGGAGCACCCTGTTGTTTGAATTTCCCCAATTGTACTGGTTTCCTCGGTAGACTAGGTTTATAACATGTCTTTTGCCTCCTTGTACTCTTGCCAGTTTTCTGAGCCTATTCCTTGAGCTGCCTATCACTGGAGTGATTTTTTAAAAATGTCCTTTCAATAGATTTTTTCTCTACTTCAATCAGAAAAAGTGTTTGTTTGTTTTTATTGTTTGTAAATTAAAACACTTAGTGCAGTTGTCAAACACAGCCCTCATGTGTCCATGGCTAATTAGATCAGAAAAGCTAAACCTGAAATGAAAACCTCGGAGTGGCAGAAAATAGGTACTCTGAAAGCCCCAAAATTAATTAATTGGGTCAAGATTAAAACTCTCCAGCATCTATGTATTCAAATTAACCTAACAGGAAGCTATAATATTTGTGTATTTCTACTAAACCATTTCAAATTTATTTTGACAAGCTAGAAATACTCTCTTCAGTGAATAAAACCCATGAGGATAAAAACAGGAAAAAAAAAAAAAAAACATTGAGATGAAGAAACAAATTCTATCATTCTTGACCTGAAATAAGATTTCATGTCCCCTGACATCCAGCCTAGTGTTTTCATACTAAAGTGCATCACCTCCCAGATATTTTAGGGAAGAAAAGTATTCTGCTTAAATTACTGGTCTGGTGAATACTTTGGGAAGTGATCTCTGATCTCTTTTTCTGAAATCAAGGGAGAATATTTGAAACACTGAGCCCTGTTTTAGAGAATAGACATTTTTTTTTTCCTATGTAAAAACTACCTCAAAAAAAGAGAATGTGAAAAATAAAGGAATCAGAGGAGGGGTGCAATTACAAAAATAGGTCCACATTAGCAATTGATTATAAATTTTGTGTTAATTTATCTATGGGCTTTGACAAGATTTGGATTTTTAAAATTTATGTAGGTATCTCTCTGCTTCAGAAGTTAGTAATTTTGTAAAACAAACAAACAAAAAACCCTTTAATTTCTTAAATTTTAACTAATTAACCATATCACTTAAATACTCTATGTAGACTTTTTTAAAAAATAGAATAACCCATATTTAAGATGCTAATACATAGGAAAATAAACTAAATTTATACCAATAAAATATACACATTGGATTTGTCTGGAGAGCCAATTAAATAATATAAGTAAACTTTATTAACCCCTACCAAAAAACTTCATAGTAATTTAGATTATAAAACTGAATAACTTGACTCTTCCTTAAAAAGCAGCATTGTCTTTTTTAAAAGTTTACTAAATAAGTAGTCTACATATTATTCTTAAGAAACATAGCAATAACCCAAAACAAGCATATAAAATAATTTGCCTATTAATTTCAACTATATCCCAAAATGCTCAGAAATCAATAAAATATCTTTAAAAAGTTACAGAAAGAGGAATACTTATTTTAATATATAAAACCAAAATGTGATAGTCATCTTTGAAAGAAGTAATCTAAATAAGTAAGGTTGGCTCCTCCCACCAAAAACAAGGCTCATTCTAACAGTGTACAAAGTGGTCCCAGAAGAGTGTATCTATTGATAAATGTTTATTTAGTTCCCTAACTCAACTGACAGTGTAACAGTACCTGAAGGCAATTTTGTATTAAATAAATGAACAAGGGATGTCTTTTAATGATTTCACACTATATTAGGTATGTAAGTAAACATATATTTGTTGCTAGAATAGATTTTATTAAGCAGAATTTTCTATTCCTTGAACTTGTTGGAAATTGAATCTATGATTAGATTTGACAGTAAAAAATGAACAAAACAATTCTATTCTTTTTGTCTGGATTTCAGGAAAAACATGATTATGATGCATAAGGAGTAGATAATATTTTGTGTTGACAAAGGGTACTTGTCAATTTTATGCTTTTATTTGTTTTCTTATTTGTTTTCTTTT